TTATCCTTGGCAAGGAAAATGACAAGAAAAGCTTCCCAAACTAGGTCCCTAGGTATCTGTGCTAGGTCTGAGAAACATTCCATTTCTCACCTTTCACGTGAACTGGGCGTATGTCATACAGTTCTTTAAAAGACAATTCACCCCACACAGCACTGTCTCTTTTAAGTGAGAAACAGCCTTATAAATGAAATTGTTTCAAGGCTACTCCATGGAATTTTGAGTAGTTTCAGACATCTGAATTACAACAAAACTGAATTCAGCTGTAAGTGCCACATTGCTTGAGGTCTAAATTGTTTTTAGTTTGTCACACTCGCACACTGAAGCAAGATTTCATGAGGAAAAAAGTAGAAGCAGTGTACCAAAATCTTATAATATGAAGCAAAATAGTTCTAGAATTACAGCAGCAGGTAGCTTGATTCAAAACATGGTTTAAAATTTATCTCATAGTCTAAGAAACCTTTACTCATTAAAAAAAAAAGTTTTCTAAAAAAGTTCTAACAATATAAACAGGCAAATGAATACAATTACTAGCTTCACCAAAGCAACTGCAGCTATTGAGAATTTCATTAAAGAATGGTTTATGTCAGAGTTGATACACTGCAGCATATTCACAGGGTATTCTTTACAAAGTTGTGAAGTTTCCGCTTAGGGAGCTTTTATATGAAACACACTGCTGTGCAGGTTATGCCTTATAGTTAGTTCATCTCCAGAGTCATTAGGAGAAAATAAGGAAGTGATATGTCAATCTGTCACGGAAAAACACATTGAATATATGTGCCAGCACAGTATATATAATAATCTGTCAAAGTTTTAATACATGGGAGATACCAATGGTAAAAACCAAACAACAAAAACAATTCCTGGTAACACTCATTCCAATTAGGACCCTACTAGATCAAAATTTTGATTGAAAATTGCATATTTAGCCTAAAACTGGCAGATATTTTATCAGGATTATCAGTGAAACTGGCTTTTAAAATACGATGAAAAGTCTATGCCTGGGGCTTGGAAAGAACAGCAGCATCACAGGCAATTTCTGGACTGAGGGTAAACCATGCTAGCAATAGACCATCTTCTAAAATTTAACTATAAACACCTTTGGGACTACTTCTTCATGTCTAGTTATGCCAACCAATCCATATGTGACCATCTGGATACTTGATTTGCCTTACTGATTTTGAGTGTTTTAGTTGTTCATTTACCTGTATGTACATATATTTGTGTGCCCTCTAATACCTAATTTCCATACTTCATATATTCTGCTAAGTCTGCAGAGGCTCTTTAAAACTGTTCTCAGTGTCCTTGATTCTATGCCACTTTGCAGTGGAATCTGATTTCAAATTTGTCTATGATAAATCTGATCAGGGGTGCTATTTATAGATAGATATCATTGTATATAGCAAAAATAAATTTTAATTATCTTAAATAAAATTGTTCAATTTGATAAAGGAACAAGTGACTAAAGTTTTCAAAGGTAAAAGAATTTTGCTAGATTTTTTGCTAGAATTTTGCTAAACAGTAAATATAAAGGTTATATTCTCTTCCTCCCATCCCTAGTACCCGAAAAATGAACAGGTATTTGAAATAGAATTCAGTAAACAATAAGTCTATTTCTGTTGATCATATCGTAAAAGTTTTTTTTTTTTTGAGGGTATAAATAACTTGGCAAATATTAAAATACATTCTGTAGGCTTTCTTTACATCGACTCCCTAAATTTTAGTTGAGAGCTCATGACTGAATAAGCAATTTGTCATTAAGTATTATTTGAAACATCATTTTTGAAATATAATTTTCTAATGGTGGCGTGCAGTGTTAATATTTTTCTTTTCTTTTTTCCTAAATCTTTCATAGGCCATAGGGGAACATAATCCTCTTTGGCATCAAATAATGCACCTTTGCAAATGTTCTGGATTTCTGAAATAGTTAATACACCTAAATCTATAATCTGTAAGCAATTTAAGTCTCAGATTGAATATACACTTAAACTATTATAAATTAAAACTACAATTATAAAAGGAAAATTAGAGAAATTATTTATTGTTTATATACTAGCACACATTATTACAGCTTTCGCTCTTTTATTGTTTTCATTCTAATTCTGATATTCTTAATAAATACCTACATTCCTTGTTATCATGTATTCCCATTTTACTTAGTAATAGATTTATTACAATACAGAATTCTACATTTTCATATGGTATATTTAAATCTAATTATTTAAACCTTAAAATCATCAGTATGCAACTAAAATACTGTCAGCTAATTTTCTTCCCATTATCTTTGTAACATACCAATTGACTTCTTTTACATAAATGAATATTTTCTTGAACTGTTTGACTTCTGTCTTTTTAATGAAATAAATTCTCCTCTTCTAACTAGAAGTCTGCTATTAACGTAAGTCACCTGGGAGCCTGGCCAAAGTCTGAAGCAGCACAGCTGAAGGGTACAGCCATTTCATAGGGTCCTCTCAGAGAGTATTTGGTTTGCTTTCCTAACTTTCTAAAAATAGTAGATTACACAGGCCACCTCCATCTCATGGCTCAAGAACTCAGAAAAGGCTGGACTATGGATTTAAGCAATACACAGGACACATTTTATTAAAGAAGTCAGGATATTACAAGTTTTCTAAATTTTTTTCCGTTTACTCTGTGAGAGAATGCAAATGATCTAGCGGTTATTGGCATGGAAACCTCATAACGCTCCCAAATTTCAGAACTTCAAGCATGAGTCATACAGTTACTTTAACAGTTTTAAAATATGTTTTTGATCTATTTTAGCCACAAGACTGAATACAAGAGGACTGCTATCTGAAGGGAAGGATTCTAAATACTGTACGAAGAATCACATGTGTCAGTTATAAATATATACACACACACAAGAAACATGTTTTTTAACATAAATGCTTAATTGCATATTCAAAATTGTTTCAATTCTTAACATAGTTATTTTACCAACATTTAGGAAGCTTTTTTCCTGGGTATGAAGCTCCATCATAAATAAATTTGTGGGTTTTTTTCCTCTTATTCAAATTTAAAATATTTTACCAAGATTTAGACACTGTAATTTAAATTTAAATTAAATTCAGTTTATCTTAGAAAGACAAAGAAAAAGGACAAAGTCTGCATTGATTAGCTGCTGTAATGAGTTCATTTCATAAATACATTTAAAATCTTGAAATTATTTAAAGTCCTTGACGTGGCAGTTGAATCTTGTTAACCACACAGCATGGCAATAAGCAACCTTGCTGCTTTACTCAAAAAGGGACTGTTCTGTGGCCATAAGTGAGCAGCAACTAAAAAAAGAATATATTTTGAGATGGAAAAGTAGCAACTGAATATTAATGTTTCATAATGTTTCCAAATGTTGTAGGGGCAGGTCTTCTGTGAAAGCACTCAATGTCACAGCAAAATTTAATGTCCTTTACTTTGCAGCTACGTGTGCACCATCAACTGTCTGTAGGATTAAAAATTGGATTTACTATTAATTGGGTCAAAACAGGGTTACTTATGGCCACAGCTGGTTACCGACAAGAGTAATTAGCTCTCTGCCCCTCATTTTATAGGTCTCAGTCTCTAATTACACCTGAATTCAGCCGGCATGAATTTAGGAATACACATTCACGGAGGTACAACCACTATGCCCTTCACTGATGCCTCTCAAAGGAAAGGCTGAAGAAAGTCTCAATGGGAGTTTATGACTTTTGCTTATTGATCTTGGGACTATGACATTAAAAATAATCTAATATTTTAAAATATTTTTGTTGTTAATACCTCCTTTCTGTTCAAGTCTAAAGATCATGTTCTTGGAATCTTTGCCAAAAACTTTAGCAAAATGAACAGCCTAAACTGGACCAGGAAACAATGAACTGAAACAATTAACTCATAACTCACCCTGATGTTATTAAAGAAAAGATTATTATAGCACTATATATTTGTAAAGACAAGATGGACTTATGAGACTTTTACTTGTCTACATATGTAGAAGTGATAGTGTCTTCTCCTCAAAGCTTCAAAGAATTAAATTAGGACATTAATATCCAAAAGCAATTTGATTAAACCAAGTAGGTTGAAAGTACCCAGGAACACATTTCTAGTCTTGACCTTGTGTGTCAAAATAAAGACATTTATGTTATCTTTTAAAAGACTCATTTTCAAATATGATACTTGAATTACAAATGCAATGACATTTTTGAATGCCAAGAAACACTAAAGTAAATATTTTAGTATTATGGTGCTCACAAAAGCTAACTTTTAACATTTCTAGCTAAGACTATTACAAATAAAAAAATAATCACGATCTCACAGAAAATAAACTGCTAATTCACTTTAGAATTTTTGAAGTTGGAAAAATCCAATAAACAATAGTACTTATGAGTTTCTGCTTATTTATAAAACTCACATTCAACAAAGTTTGTCCCTCAGGTAAGGTGCTGTAGCAGCAGTTCAGCACCTTACTTCTAGTTGTATTTTCCATAAAACGCGTGGCTCTGGCCTTAAAATGCCCACAAAAAAAGAAAATGCAAAATGTCAAAATACTAAAAGAGTAAAAAGTCTATCCAAGTTTAGCTGATTTTAAATCTGCTTGTCTTTTGCAACTGTACAATGCCTTTACCAACAAATAAAAATCATCTTCATTCAGTTATTGCCACGGCCTTATATATAATATATGCATTGGCTAAACACTCACATGTAGCTACATTTACCATTTCCAGGGACACTCACTTTGCCATTACTAAGTGAAAAACATGTCAATACTTTCTGCCCTAGCAAAAAAAAAAAAAAACATGGAGTGAAAGGACTGATAAAGTTATTCATAACAAAGTTTGGCCAGACTTGATTCTGTTGCTTCTTGTAAAGTTCCCCAGCCCAACATCATCAACACACTGTGTAACTAAACTATGAACAAAGCAATCCATAATCCCAAATGCAGAGAACTGTTATGTCCATATCCCCCTTATTCAAGCATTGAATATCCTTAAAAGAATATAATAGTTACTCACTTTCAATGAATCAAAGCAGGCGATTACTCGTCCATTTTCAACTTGGCAGCTTTTCGAAGGATGTGCAAATTTACATTCCGTGTCTGGCCGTGAGCAAGTCCCCCTCTGGAACTCTCTACATACTTCCAGTGTTAGCCATTTTGTGTCCCGAATTGGTGTGACACTAACAGCCATGTTTAGATTTTACAGGTAGTTAAATGTTTCAGTGAAACCAACAAACCCAACCCCCCCAAAAAAGAGCAATAACCAAAAAAAAAAAAAAAAAGCTGAACTGATGATGAAAATGTCCCCTCAAAATACTTTTCCCCACTCCCTGCTTTAAAAGTACATGGAAAATTGTGTCGTCAATATCAAGGAAAAGATCTCCCACTAGAAATTCACAGCATGAAACTGTTAATTCAAAGAGGTTTTGGTTTTTAGAGAAATACTAGGATTGTAAGTAGATGAACGTTTAAAAGTAGGGCCTGGTATCAGCCTTGTGCTCTCAGTAACCCCTTCCCAGTGCCAATTTGGAGCCCAAAATGCAAGCATGAAAACGTGGCAGACCCTTTGACACCGAATTTCCAAGCTGCTTTCAGCAAAGTTGTCTGAAAGGGAATCTCCTCACAGCTGAATTTGCAATGGAGTTTGGTGGTGCAATCGGTATTGATTAGTTTGGCATAGACAGATGCAGCAGTTTAGAGCAAAATCGAGAAAATGATTTTTTTTTTCCTCCTTGATTTCCTGGCAGAAGATATCTTACTTTTTCAGCAAACTTTTCTTTTAACACTAAAGCAGCCTAGGGCAATGCCAGATACTTAGAGCTTTTCTCTTGATTATAAGTAGAAATGGGGGTGTCTGGGCTAGAGGTGGAGGGTGGATGTGCTGTCGTCACAGTCTAGCTGGCAGCAAGCAAGGCAAAAGCAGAGACTGCTCTAGAAGCGGTTCCAAGCAGCAGAGACGTCAGGAAAGGCACTTCTTAGTACCAACCTGTAGAAAAAAGAGATAGGTTAAGATTTACTAAGTAGCACTTCACTGATGTCCTACAGTATCACAACCTTGCCATGTGATACCAGACTAAGTAATATTCAAGTCAGCCTCTCTCTCTCCCTCTCTCTCCCACACATACACACACAAAATACTTACAGTGAGGCATATTGCAGCCAGCCATCGTAGATTTATTAAAAAAAGGGGCCGTTTCCCCTTGTGAAGCAATGCATGATAGAGAGATAACCAATCACAGATAGTGTTGCAGCAATATTCTGGGCAGAAAGCCAATAGTGTGGGTTGTCTTATGAAAGGTCGCGCCTGTCAGACGTTCATTACTATGCTATAAGCACAGAAAATGTCCATCAGATGTGACTTATTCCACTGCAAGAGGACGAGCATGTGGGTTTTGAATTTACCCAACATGCAGTTAGTGGACTAAACCATGTTAGTTTCAAAACAGCTTCTCAGACAAGTCTAAGCACTTGAAGATCATTACCGGGGAATAAAAAGTAAGGTTTAAAAATTGCAGCTGACTTCCAAGCTGCTTTCCCTCTGGCTCTGTGCAGGGACGGGCACTGAACAGCCTGCTCCTGCTGTCCTGACACGTGAATAAAAAAGGAAAGGGGTGTTTACAAATGGTACATTCTCCTGACCTATCCAATTCACTTCCTTCTAAAGCCCAAGTCCTGCCCCTCCACTGAAAGCAGCACTCATACAGTAAAACTATTCCATTGAGCCCGCAGACACTTTGTCAATATATCACAGGCAGGCAAGATATGAACAAAAGCATCCTTTATTCGTACATTTTTAAGGCAGAAGCTGAGGTCATGTGGGGAAAATAAGGAGTGCAGTGTTGTCAGTGTGTCTGGTAAATCTGAAGTCAACCTCAAGGGAGAAAGTGATTCCATCGCAGAAACATTAAATATTAAGTGAGCAATTTGATTTGAGCAGCGTGATGCACTTCAGAAGTACAATTCCAAACAAAGCTGGAGGGTGGGGGATGAGGGATCCCCTGTTGCCTGATGATCAGTTAACTCAGCACCACAAGACTACTTAGAGCAGGGCATTTTTACTTTTAACAACTTACTTTCTCTATCAGGATTTTTCTTTTTCTTTTCTTTTCTTTTTTTTGAATGTCGCCAGTGAGGAAAATAAGGCTTTAAAAAGTAAAATCTTCACATTTTGAAGAGGCAATAACACAGTATGATCACTAGTATTTGATTATACTTCTTCATGAGCCAAAATTGTTCTATTGGCATATGGTATGTTTATAATTTTTGGAATTAAAGTACAGGATATAAATACATATGTATGTTAAAAAACATGAGCATCTAGAACTTAAATCGTTTAAGATTAATATTGCCATTTTAACACTAATTTTCCTTTAAAGAATTACTTTCCAAAACTATTTGGAAAATACTACAGTAAGACTACAACTTTTGATAGAGATTAAAAAAATCAGTTAAGCGTGGTGGATCACGCCTGTAATCTTCGCAAATTGGGAGGCTAGGGTGGGTGGATCACGAGGTCAGGAGTTCAAGACCGACCTGGCCAACATGGTGAAACACCATCTGTATTAAAAATACAAAAATTAGCCAGGCGTGGTGGTGGTGCCTATAATCCCAGCTACTCAGGAGGCTGAGGCAGAAGAATCACTTGAACATGGGAGGCGGAAGCTGCAGTGAGCTGAGATTGTACCACTGCACTCCAGCCTGGGTGACAGAGCAAGATGCTGTCTCAAAAAAAAAAAAGAAAACAAACAAACAAAAACAACCATGGCTGGGCACAGAGGCTCACACCTATAATCCCAGCACTTTGGGAGGCCGAGGTGGGCAGATCACAAGCGAGGTCAGGAGTTCGAGACCAACATGGTCAACATGGCAAAAAACGTCTCTAATAAAAATACAAAAAATTAGCCAGGCACGGGGGCAGGCGCCTGTAATCCCAGCTCCTTAAGAGGCTGAGGCAAGAGAATCACTTAGAACCTTGGAGGTGGATGTTGCAGTGAGCCAAGATTGCGCCACTGCACTCCAGCCCGGACGTAACAGTGAGAGACTCCGTCTCAAAAAAAAAAAAACAAAAACAAAAACAAAAAAAACTCATCCCAGTGTTCAAGAAATATTTTGGTTTTCAAAAAAGTTTCTAGGTCCTAATGCCAGTTTCTGTATTAAAAAAAAAGGTCCAGTCATAAAGTGTAAGCTGTGTCTGTCTTCCTGAAACTTTGTTCTGCATAAAGAATTACTTACTGATTTCATGCCTTGAGAATGGACCACCTGCATGGTCAACAATCTCTTTAGTCCTTCTCTTCAGAATCTTCAAGTGCCTCACCTGTAACTATTTTCTTCCTCTAAAGCCAGCTAAGATGTCACTTCCTCCAAAAAGCTACCACGATGTCATTACCCCCATCTCTATTCATCCATATATTAAAATACCGCCTTCTCTGACTTATCTCTGCACCTATGCCCTATACAGTGTTTTATTTCCTTATATAACTGACCCACTAGACCATATGGTTTTAAGGACAGAAAAAAATATTATTCATCTCAGTAACCCCATGGCTTACATAGTGATGCAAAACAGATGGAGTTCCAAAAATATTGGTAAATTAAATTATCAATTACTGCATCAGGATTTGGATTACCTCTAGGGTACAAAACATACAAACACACACACATGAACACATATATGAATACAACACATGAACACACTGAAACATACACTTGAACACACACACACACAATCATTGCCTCTAAAAATAATGTTCCAGGGTCACGTAGGCCCTTTCAAAACTGCCTCACAATCTAGCCCTGTCCTTGTACAGCTCCCTATCTCATTGCACACAGCAGCTCTTCTAAAACTTCATTACTCTTTCTCCATGTTCATTAGCAACAGTGGATAATAACATTATATGTCATGAATATTTCATAGCCATATAACAGTAGCCCTTAAGCATGAACTTTTTCTTACCTTCCTATCCATGAGTCGTTAACCTATCCTTCTGTTTCTTTCTTAGTCTCCCAGTTCTTCCTCCTCCTGCCCACAGTTAAGCTTCCACAAGCCTCCACCTTGACTCATTCATTCTCAAGACCTCCTTCTCTTTCTGCCTCCTCTATGCATGCACACTTTGTCTTTCAGCAGTTCCTTCTCTTAGCTTCCAAATGTACTAAAGTAACTCCGAAATGCAGAGGGTGACATGGCAGGAGGAAGAGGACCCTGCTCTGGCTATGCATCCTCCTCTCCCTAATGTACTTAATCCATCCTTCCCAGGTGAATATCTACTATGCTGTTTTTCTGCTTCTTCCTTTCCCATTCACTTCTGAATCCTTATCAGTCTGACTTTCACACCCATTACTTTACTGCTCAGCAAAGGTCATCAATGCTGTCAGGAAAGCCAAGTCCAAAGACTATGTTTTGTTCTTGCCTTTGCTTGACCTGTAACATGATTTACAACTCCCTCTTTCTTGAACCTTTCCCTTTTAACAAACTGACACATTTTATCTTGTTGCTTCTCCCAGTGCTGTACCTCTTGTATCCCCCCTGGAGAGGAGTTGCTGAGGGTTCTTGGCAGGTGCCAAGACATGTGTGAGCTCCTGGGACTTGTTACATGCTAACTCCCTGTTTGGTCTGACACACACTTCCTCAACCCTGCAACTTGGCAAATTCCTTCTCCTTGTTTAAACTGCTGTTCAAAAATCACCTTCTCTATAGGGCTGGGCCAACTATGCTAAACATTATTCCATCTCAGAATGTTTTTGATACTTTATATCTCTTTGTACCTCTCCCCCTCAATGTTATATATGCCCTGACAACAGGGTGTAGGCCCAGCATTCCCCATCACACAGTTCCTGGAACATAACAGACCTTTTTAAAAAATGTTTGATAAATAAGTAAACTTCATTCATACTTACAGAAATAAACATGTATAAAAGGATGTGGTCCCAACCCTGACGAAATAGATTATTTAATCATGTCTATAGCATCCAGACAATATATATAAGAAGACTGGTACCACAAGAAAGATCTGCATTGCTTGGTAGTCATATCTAAATACAACTAACAATTAATTTCTAGAGCTGATTATTTTTCCTTTTTGCCAGGTTACAGACAGTCCCACTCAGGCACAAAATAAACTTTGATTACTAAAATGCTTGCAAATCAGTGTTCTGATTATCTTTATTTTCTGTAGCAGACAAATTCTATTTACTTCAAAAGTGCTATTGAAAGAATTATAAACATAGATTTGTACCATTTAATTGTAAAGGACATAGACAAGGATGATAATCAAAATATTAATAATTAGTTCAGGCATAGATACTGAACAATTAAAACAGATACTGGTCTTTATGCATTAGTCTAGCTGGACCTGATAATGTATGTGCCTGCCCTTGATATAGGGCACTGTGGGCAACAAACTCAAATTATATCCTATAGATTGATTTTACCAAACTGCTGGTATCAGATTATTGTCTTATCTATATGCAAAAAAAAAAAAAACTTCAAAAAATAGAAATCTTTTTTGGTAAATTAAGATTTTATAGAATTTGGATCAATATTGAATTCACAAAACATTCCTTTAACTAAGTAATAGAGTTTTGTTCTATAGATAGATATAATGTTTAAATATATGTGGGTTATGTCCAGATTGTGAGAATTCTTGCAAACATATTTGGCCTAAAATAAATTTTGTCTCTAAATAATTATTAAAGGAAAGATTTCTACTTCAAAGATAAGTACTAATGGGTACATTGCTTCTGAGGTAAATATCTGGCCTATATTTCAATACATTATAATAAACTTCTCTGAACAACAAAAATATTGTAAGAATCAAACTTAAAAATCTGAATAATAGCTAACAGCAGTCCCTCTTTAACCTACTGATCAAATTCCAAACACTATAGAGTTTCTTGCTTTATCTGACATCGTCTACAACACCAATATTCTGCCACAAGAACCAATTTCTTCTTGAATGATATCAGAAATCATGTATATATTCTACTTTA